TGGTGTGCACCTGTAATCCCAGCTCCTGGGGAGGCTGAGGCAGGAGAATCGCCTGAACTCGGGAGGCTGAAGTTGCAGTGAGCCAAGATCGCATCATTGCACTCCAGCCTAGGTAACAAGAGCGAGACTCCATCTCGAAAAAAGAAAAAAAAAAAAGCGGAAGAGAGAGAGAGAGAGAGAGAAAGGTGAGTTTGTGGACCTACTGGACAAACAGGACATGGGACATGGGGGCCTGAAACACTGTTTTACAGACAGAAGAACACAAAGGGAAATGCAGCCTGCCATTCTGTTACTTCCTTTCTCCTCTATCCCTTCTTCCCTCCCTGGGAAACCACAATAACAGAAGTCTCATTCAATCAAATAGCTGTCAATTATATGAGTTGTACTTTTCTCTTCCTCAACAGCAAACTGGCTTTCCTCCTCTTTGTCCTCCTCTGTCTGCCTATAGAGCAATTTCCTCCTGTCCACTTTGCAGGGCCGATAGCTCAAATACAGTGCTATGGTGATGACACCCACTCCAAGGGCAACGGTAATAATGACAACGAGGGCAGAGCTGATTCCTTCATCTAGTCCTGTCCAAGCACAGAAGACAGAGTTAGGAAGGTCTGATAGTACGAGGATCACCCACCCCAGCCCACCAGGCCCACTTCTGAGTCTCATTCTTCCCAACCTAGTAGAATCTTTCTTATTTTCATCCTTGGATAAGAATTCCAAACCCCTAAGGAGTTTCCCATCTCCTGGGCCTGGCAGCAGGGCAGCAAAGTTTACCTTGAACAATGACAGCAATGTCTTTGCTGACAGAGCCCAGCTGGTTAGTGGCTGTGCAGAAGTAGGCTCCGGTGTGGTTCTGGGTTGCATTCTGTGGCACTTCAAGGTCAAAGACCACCCCATTCCAGGTACACACCAAGGCTGGAGCTGGGTTTCCCTTTGGGACGCAGGCAAGCGTGTGTTCCATCCCTTCCAGCCAGGTCTGTTTGCCAGGGCAACTGGATTCCTCTAGCCGTGGCTTGTCTGCAAAACCAGAGTTTCCCAAAGAGCTGAGTTCAGTGCACCACACTCCCTCACTACCTTCACACCCTGCTCCCTCTCCTCACCCAAATGCGGTCCCCTCCATCCAACAGCTTTCCTTACCAAGGGAGCACTAGCAGCTCCCTACTTTGAGGCAACTCTTCTTTCCCATCTTCCCCATGGGCATGGAGTCCCAGATGAAACCTAGGGTGTTTTTGTTTGTTTGTTTGTTTTGAGACGGAGTCTGGCTGTCTTGCCAAGCTGGAGTGTGTGCAGTGGTGTGATCTCGGCTCACTGTAACCTCCACCTCCTGGGTTCAAGCGATTCTCCTGCCTCAGTCTCCCGAGTAGCTGGGACTACAAGCAGTGCCCCCATGCCCAGCTAATTTTTGTATTTTTAGTAGAGACGGGGTTTCACCATGTTGGCCAGGATGGTCTCTAACTCTTGACCTCGTGATCCACCAGCCTTGGCCTTCCAAAGTGTTGGGATTACAGGTGTGAGCCACCACACCCAGCCAAAACCTAGGGTGTTTCTATAAAAAAAATTCAGACTAAATGATAACCCTGCTGTGTCCGTGGTGGCCCTGTGCCCCTGCTTCCCATCTTTGCTTCTCAGTGGGTAAGGAGCTAGGTAGTGGTGAACTCAAGAGATGAGGATTTTTCTACTTTTCTCTTTTTTTTTTTTTTTTTTGAGACGAAGTCTCGCTTTGTCACCCAGGCTACAGTGCAGTAGCGTGATCTCAGCTTACTACAACCTCCGCCTCCCAGGTTTCAAGCGATTCTCCTCCCTCAGCCTCCTGAGTAGTGGAATTACAGGTGCCCACGACCACACCCGGCTAATATTTGTATTTTTCATAGAGATGGGGTTTCACCATGTTGGTCAGGCTGGTCTGGAACTCCTGACCTCTAGCCATCCACCCACCTTGGCCTCCCAAAGTGCTGGGATTACAGGCGTGAGCCACTGCGCCCGGCCTATTTTCTCTACTCTTCAAAATAGAAATTTGTAGATGGAATTTTTGGATATTTCCCTTTTCAGCATAAACTCCCACTATCACTTCCTTTGTTCTCCTTGGCCATCGCCCTCAACTAACGTTGCCTGATCACTTTAACCCCTTTCCTTTATGTTCCCAATTTCCCCTCGTCTGGTTCCCCACTCACTCTCCCGGGAGGAAGGCAAGCTTGGAGCGCTTTCCTTATATTCTCTCCTTTGATTTTTTTTTTTTTAATGAGAAAAACGTGGCAACTCTAATAATGAAGCACTGCTGGCCAAGAAGCTCTCTAGAAATGGGAAAATAATAATCCTTATTTTGACAAGAAAGATCAGGCCCCTACTCACATAGGACATGGAGCTGGATCACAGTGGTTTTCATCAACCACTGACCCTGCACCTCCAAAGAGGCCTCGCAGGAGAAATTTCGGCCATCATCTTCCTCTCTGGCAGTAAGTAGAAGCCAGGCAGGCTCCCCAGGGGCAGGGAGGTCTGGGGCTCCCTGAAGCCGAAGAGTAGGGCTGGGTGATGTTAATACATGCCCTGAGCAGGTCACATTAATGTCGGTCCCTGCCAATGGGTATGATTCTTTCAGCTCCAGGATTGGTGGAGGGAAGCCTGTAAGGAAAGGAAAAGGAGAACCAGATACATTTCTCAAAACTAGCAGACACTTCTGCACTCTTGCTGCTGGCAAAAGCCCTTGGGAAGGCAGACAACAGGGGAAAGACTTTGGATACCACTGCTTCTTCTGTAAAAGCTGAAGGAAAGAATGAGGTGGTTTGGGGATCCGAGAGCTTCTCTTATGCACGCACACATTTAGTTATGCTTCGCTGCAAGGACTGCAAGATGTCTTTTCATCTTACAGCTTTCCTCCTCACCTCAAATAAATGTTCCTAAAGTAGTTCGGGGCATCCACAATCACTCTGTAAGCAGGATAGCCTAAGGAAACTGGGGATGAAGTCTGGAAGGAACTACTGTAGCAATACATGTCCCCAGTCTGCCTGCATTTACCAGAGAAAGATGAAGACTCGTGTTCACTTGAGAGAGTACCCAGCAAAGGGCAGCAGGGATATCTACAGCCAAATCACTAACCCATTACTGTGTGTTTTCAGTTGCAGAGAACCCGTATGAAAAAGGAAGAGCCAGGTCACTTACTGTAGCTATGCACTAGCTTTCTTGTTTTCTGTTCCACTGGACCCAGAGATGCAAGGCAAGACAGTTCCTGATCACCAGCCTCCATGGCCCGAAAGGTAGCATTGGCCCATGCTGTGTCCCCCTCCCAGGAAAGGAAGGAGCTCAGCTCTTGGTCTTCCAGGAACATGTGGAATATAACTTCTTTGGCTGGAAACACCCTAGCCACCTCGCAGCTCACAGTCTCTGCCATCCCAACCTCCAAAAGGGAAGAGACCCAGATATGGGGAGTCTGAGAGAATTCTGCCAAAAAAATGAGGACAAGAAGAGAAAGGAGAAAAGTCATGAGAAATCATACGTCATGCAGGACCCTTCAAGGTGGGAAGGAAGTGGGGTTAAAATGTCTCTCTTCCCCAGGGTGAGCTTAAAGCCCAAGCAAAGGTGGAGCTCAGTTACTCTCACACCCTCACCCTAAACCCCATGAGAACTTAGTCCCAAAGGCCAAGGCAAGATGAGCCCCAGGATTCCTCCTGCACTTGAGTTCTGACTCACCAAAGATCCGGAGTATTTTGATGGGTGAGCTGCCTTGAAAGAGGCTCCCACCTTGCAAACTCAAATCCAATTCTGCACGGCAGGAAAAATTGCACCTGTCATTCTCCCTTTGGGCTCTGACACTGATGATGACCTCAGCTCTTTGGGAGGCCACAGCCAAGCTCATAAAGTTCTTTCTATGCAGTTCTTGGTTACCCTGGAGAAGGGCAAGGGTGAGGCTCTCCAAGGGTGCTACACTGGGCACATGACACTTCACTGTGAAGGCTTCATCCATGGCCACCCAGGCAGGCTGCAGCTCCAGGATCACTTGCTCTGGTGGCTCTTTAAGACAAAAAAGCAAGGCTTGATGAGCATGTCATCCTCCTCTCCAGAAAGAAACGGCATAGGACAGGAAGATGAAGTGATACAAATCACAGAAGGTGACTGTCACCTTAAACCATCTGATCAGCAATGTCAGAATGTCAGCTTTCTGCCATCCCTGCCCTAGATGGGGCGAGTTAGTCTTCTGGCTCTTGTTCTTCCCATCAAAAGTGGCTAAGGCCATAGCCAAGAAGAGTGACTGCTGAGGGAGGGGCCCTTGCTTTGACTGTTGCTGCCATTCTGGAAAGCACTGATCTTTTACCAGAGGGGCTTCAGAGGCAAGAGCAGCTTCCGGGGGCTCCTTAGCATCACACAAAATCTATACTCTAGCAGGCCAGGTGCGGTGGCTCACGCCTGTAATCCCAGCACTTTGGGAGGCCAAGACGAGCGGATCACTTGAGATCAGGAGTTCCAGACCAGCCTGGCCAAGATGGTGAAACCCTGTCTCTACTAAAAGTACAAAAATTAGCCAGGCGTGGTGGCAGGTGCCTGTAATCCCAGCTACTCAGGAGGCTGAGGCAGAGAATTGCTTGAACCCGGGAGGCAGAGGTTGCAGTGAGTCAAGGTTGTACTACTGCACTCCAGCCAGGGCAACAGAGCAAGATTCCATCTCAAAACAAACAAACCAAACTATAGTTAACCAAGTTCTGACCCCACAGAGACCATACTTGCTTTCATGGCCATATCTTTGCCCATGTTATTTGCCTACCTGAAAGGTCTTCCTTACCTGTCCCCTTCAATTCAAACCCTAACCATCCTGGGGGAGGGCAGTCAGGAGCCTCCTCCACCATGGAGCCTTCTCAGGCTGCCCCAGTCCACAAAGACCCTTCTCTCTCCAATCTCTGTTTATTCCAATAGCTTGTAGCAAACAATTCAGCATTAATTTTATACTTTTTTTTTTAAGAGATGGGATCCCACTCTGTTGCCCAGGCTGAAGTGCAGTGGTGTGATCATAGATCACTGCAGGCTTGAACTTTTAGGTTCCGAGGATCCTTCCACCTTAGCCTCCCAAGTAGCTGGGACTACAGGTGCATACCACTATGCCTGGTTAACTTTGAAAACTTTTTTTGTAGAGACAGAGGTCTCACTATGTTTCCCAAGCTGGTCTCAAACACCTGGCCTCAAGTGATCCTCTTGCCTTGGCCTCCCAAAGTGCTGGGATTAAAGCACGAGCTACTGTGCCCAGCCTAATCTTATACTTTTTGGTAATTTAACCATAAACATTATTAGCATATGCTTCCTGTATTGAAGATATTTTCAAGCACAGATGTCTGGATGCTCTCTATGGTCTGCTCCTAATTGAAAACTCAGAAGAAAGCCTACATCAAAGGGAAGTAGAAGTGGGCCAGGCTCACTTCTACTTGCTGAACTTGAGGTGGCTCACGCCTGTAATCCCAGGACTTTGGGAGGCTGAGGCAGATAGATCACTTGAGGTCAGGAGTTCAAGACCAGCCCGTCTCTACTAAAAAAATACAAAAATTAGCCAGGCATGGTGGTGGGTGCCTGTAATCCCAGCTACTGGGGAGGCTGAGGCAGGAGAATTGCTTGAATCCACGAGGTGGAGGCTGCAGTAAGCTGGGATCACACCACTGCACTCCAGCCTGAGCGATAGAGCAAGATTCCATCTCAAAAATAATAATAATAATAAAGGTGATTGGCTCTAGAATCCTTACAGTATGACAGAAATCTTTATTAACGGCCTTAATTATCTCCCCTAATTAGAAACATTTGTCCCGTCCTTCCCTAAATAAGACATGTTCATGTTTCCCCATTCCTCCTTTCCACCCCCCTGCCCCCAGCCCTTAGCCCTACTCACGATACACAGTGATGCCAAGGCTTGTGTCCTTTTGAATCCCTGCACAAGAGAAGAAGCACTGCAGGATGGAATTCTCTGTTACATCTTCCAGAAGAAACTCTTTCCACTGAGGCCCTTTGCCCACCTGAGTTTTCTTTAAGAAGGTCTCAATTCCACTGGGTCCTGGGTCTGGGCAAGTAGTGCTGCAGTTGACCACTAGGGACTGTCCAAACTCCACCAGGGCCTGATTTGGCCAAACAGAAACCTCAAACGACTCTTCTGCGACCCCTGAAATATGAACTACATATGCCAATGACTCTGGTGAGGACCATGAGACCCAAACAAAATACAGAAACTATTCTATCTAGTTCTAGGTTAGAGAACAGGAAATCTGCCCTGAACAAAAAGGTTCAGAGGACCAGACAGGACAAAAGACCTGTAATTGGCTGGGCACGGTGGCCCGCACCTGTAATCCCAGCAGTTTGGGAGGCCAAGGTGGGTGGATCACCTGAGGTCAGAAGTTCGAGACCAGCCTGACCAACATGGAGAAACCCCATCTCTATTAAAAACACAAAATTAGCCGGGCGTGGTGATGTGTGCCTGTAATTCCAGCTACTTGGGAAGCTGAGGCAGGAGAATTGCTTGAACCCGGGAGGCAGACGTTGCAGTGAGCTGAGATTGTGCCATTGCACTCCAGCCTGGGCAACAAGAGCGAAACTCCACCTCAAAAACAAAAACAAACAAACAAACCTGTAATTAACAAGTTAGCTCTGATTCCTCCACTATTCCCTCCACCTATCTTCTTTCTCGAGAACTTGAATTCTCTATTAATATCACCATGGAAATTATGGAGTTGCTAAAAAAATTATGCCCAGGAAACCAACATCTTCCTAAACTTTCAGAATTCTTGAAAGCGTCCCAGGATAGGCTGCTGCGGACCCTCACAGGATTCGAACTTCATTACTTATCCCTCAAAGCAGTGTCTCCCTCAAATTATGGCTAAGGATTCCCTTCGCCAGAATCACCCTGAATGCTTGTAAACTGCAGATTCCAACTCCATCTCAGAGTGCATGGTTTCAAACCTGTGAAGGTGGGAACTGAAAATATGCTAGGGAATAACAAGCCTGCCGGGGACCCTTATGCACACCAAATTCTCAGACCCATTGGTCTGCAGGTGACTCCCGGGTCACTCATTTCCCATGCCTTTTCTTTATGCCTCTTCTCCGAGTGAGACCATTCCGTTTTGATTTGGTGCTGAGAGAATAGATGTTTTGGATGCCTACAAATTTTGTCTGTTCTAGAAATCTTCTCTGATGCAGTGGGAGATGTCAGATACATTTTTATTTTATTTTATTTTATTTTTGAGACAGAGTTTCACTCTTTTTGCCCAGGCTGGAGTGCAATGGCGCAATCTCAGCTCACTGCAACCTCCGCCTCCCATGTTCGAGCGATTCTCCTGCCTCAGCCTCCCAAGTAGCTGGGATTACAGGCACGTGCCACCATGCCCAGCTAATTTTGTATTTTTAGTAGAGACGGGGTTTCACCATGTTGGCCAGGCTGGTCTCCTGACCTCAGGTGATCCGCCAGCCTCAGCCTCCCAAAGTGCTGGGATTACAGGCATGAGCCACTGTGCCCGGCCAAGCCACCGCGCCTGGCCTCAGATGGATTTTAGATGCCTGATGTAAGTAAAGGGCACAGAGACTTCAGGAAGTCCTGAAGGCTTCTCTACAGGTCCCTTTTAGCTAGTCCATGTCTACCATCTACTTCACCTCCCAATACCAGTCCCCTCTGGGAATACACAGCTCTTGTAGCAGTGTTACCTGCTAAGGCCCCTGTTCCTTTCCTGTCATCAGGAGAACTCACTTTTTGTACCTGAGCTATGGGTCCTGTCCTACCAAGAGCCTATTATAGTTCATCATGACACAAATGGTGGCAACAAAGAAGTAAAAACATTCTCAAGAGGAGAAATACAGGGCAGTCCTGGGGCAGTAAGGAACCAAGCAGAGAAGGCATGTTTCCTAGGGAGAGTCCTCTCTGATAGTCTATTAACTTGGGTTATCCCAGTTACAAGCCAGAGACCCTAAGGATTCTGTATCCTAGTGATCCAAGAGATAGGAATATTTCCCCCGGGTCCAGATGAACGAACACTGAAGTGTCACCCCACTTAGGACTCCCCACCTCCTTCCTCACTGACTAGCTACCTGTGTCCTGGCACATACTGGTTTAAAATGCTTTCCCAAATAGCCTCACCTGGGCAAAGGATCAAGGCCAGCAGGGCCCAGACACCAAACAGAAGCATTTTCATCCTGATGAGAATGGCCAAAGGCTGGAGAGAAAAAGACAGCAATGCTGGAGAAAGTGACCAAAAATACATATATAAGGAAAATTATTTCTTTGATATTAAGAGTCAGTCCCTTTCCTCACTAGTCTAGAAAATTTACAGCAAAAACATCAGCAGTGAAGGTGTACTAAAAGAATGTCTTGGGCTTGGCGTGGTGGCTCACGCCTGTAATCCCAACACTTTGGGAGGCTGAGGCGGGAAGATCATGAGGTCAGGAGATCGAGATCATCCTGGCTAACACGGTGAAACCCTGTCTCTACTAAAAATACAAAAAATTAGCCCAGTATGTTGGTGGGAGCCTGTAGTCCCAGCTACTCGGGAGGCTGAGGCAGGAGAATGGCATGAACCCAGGAGGCGGAGCTTGCAGTGAGCTGAGGTTGTGATCCACCTGTTACTCCAGCCTGGCGAACAGAAGTGAGATCCATCTCAAAAAAAAAAAAAGAATGTCTAATTATTAATCTATTATTTCAGTTTGGCTTCATGTGCATTAGCAAACACGGGGAAAATATGGAAAAAAGATGAGGGCATATTATCGGGACTCCTTGTTAAGTTAGTAATCTACTTATCCTTTTTACTAGTTTGCCTCCATCTATTAGACTGATCAAACATGAAGGGTGCCTGGCGATGAAAACATGAAAAACTGAGTTTAGGCTAGGCACAAGGGGCCCTCTACACAGTAATCACCCAACACTGTGAGAGGCCGAGCGGGTGGATCACCTGAGGTCAGGAAGTTCCAGACCAGCCCTGGGCCAACATGTGAGAAATCCGTCTCTACCTAAAAAAAAATACCAAAATTATGGGCGTGGGTGGGCAAGTGCCTATAATCCCAGCTTACTTAGGAAGGCTGAGCAGGAGAATCGACTTGAACCCAGGAGGCCAGAGTTTGCGGTGAGCCAAGATCATGCCACTGACTCCAGCCTGGGTTAGCAGAGCAAGCCTCCTTCTCAAAAAAAAAAACAATAAACGCATCTTCAAACTAATTTCTTCTAAGAAAGGGCTTCTTGGTGACTAGCCCTTGATCCACTCACAGGTCCCATTATGTTATACATGATCTCTATTCTTCACTTTATGGCCAAACAAATTTCTGAAGTTGCAAAGGGAAACTTAAATGTGTCACTTTGTGAATTATTTCAGTGATGATAACATCTCACTATACTTAGAAATTCCCTTGAGGATAAGAGGACTGAATGTACCTTATCTGTATTCCCAGCACCTAGCACAGAGCTCATGATATTGTGGACAACAATTTGAAGGGACTACCCTCCAATATTTTTTTTTTTTTTTTTTTGAGACGGAGGTCTCGGTCTGTCGCCCAGGCCCTGGAGTGCCAAGTGGCCGGATCTCCAGCTCCACGCAAGCTACGCCTCCCGTAGTTTACGCCATTCTCCCTGCCTCAGCCTCCCGAGAGCTGGACTAACAGCGCCCGCCCATCGCGGCTAGTTTTTGTAATGATTTTTAGTAGAGACAGAGGTTTCCGTGTTACCAGGAATGTTCCATCTCCTGACCTCGTGATCCGCCCGTCTCGGCCTCCCAAAGTGCTGGGATTACAGGCTTGAGCCACCGCGCCCGGCCCCTCCAATTTTGTATTGAATTTTCATACAGTGGGTTTGGAACAGGTCTAACTCCACTTCTATGCTGGTCTGAGAGTTTTTTCTGCTTTTTTTTTTTTTTTTTTAAATACAGGGATAACAGGTGGATGAAAATTTGTACTCCCAAGTGAAGGTTACCCTTCAAAATAACCACTTTGGAATGCTATCATCTTATTCCAGTGATGACACAATTATTCAAAACCTTTTTTGAAATTATTTATTTATATATTGAGACAGGGTCTTGCTTTGTTGCCCAGGCTGAAGTGCAGTGGTGTGATCACAGCTCGCTGCAGCCTCAAATTCCTGGGCTCAAGCAATCCTCCCACCTCAGTCTCTTGAGTACCAGGGATTACAGGCACATACCACCACACCCAGACGATGTTTTTATTAACTGTTTTTGTAGAGACAGGGGTTTCACTATGCTGCCCAGGCTAATCCTGAACTCCTGGCCTCCAGTGATCCTCACACCTAAGCCTCCCAAGGTGCTGGGATTACAGGCATAAGCCACCACGCCCAGCCTGAAAGTAATTTAGAACTGGCTTTTAAGCCATATAAGAAAAATCAAGCTGGGAGCAGTGACTCATGCCTATGATCCCAGGATTCGAGGACACCAAGGTGGGAGGATTGCTTGAGCCCACGGGTTTGAGACCAACCTAGGCAACATAGCAAGACCCCGTCTCTACAAAAAAAATTAAAAATTAGCCAGGTGTGATTATGCTCACCTGTAGTCCTAGCTACCTGGGATGCTGAGGTGGGAGGATCACTTGAGCCAGTTTGAGGCTTCTGTGAGCCATGACCATACCACTGTACTCCAGTCTGGGCAACAGAGCAAGACCTTGCCATAAATAAATAAATAAGTAAATAAATAAATAAATAAAGCAAGCTCTCCTCTTTGTTACTGAACCAAACCAGGTCTATCTGTCCACGTGCAATGTAAAGCCAAACACTGAAGCACTAGATTTTTGTAGAGATAAAAGTCTATTTCAAGGTGGCTGAGCGAGAAGACAGGCTCAAATGTCTCTTCAATCTGGAGCCTGGAACAAATTTTAAGTGTGAGGGAGGACACAGGTATAGGTGGAAGTACTGGAAGGACAGATTTTGATCTGAAGGACTTCAAACAGTACCATTTATGGTAAGATATGGTAAAGGGTCTTATACGCGGACATTCCTGGGCTTGGACCTGTTGCTTTTGTTTCAAAAGTGTTCCCGTGCTCGAGTTCCAGCCACATCCCAATCTTTTGGTTCCGCCGAAGGGCAAGACTTTAGTTCCAGAGTTATTTGAGGTCAAAGTCTCCCTTTCTGCACATGCTCTGACTGTATGACTTGCAACTTCTTGGCTCTGGGCCTGTAAAATAACTTGATACCCCACTATCAGTGGGGTAGAATCAGTTAGAACTGATCCAGCAATTACACTCTCCAATGTGTAGATCTTGTGATGTTTAAGTCTATAACATGAATCCAGATTATTTGTGCTTTGATGGGGCCACAGTGTCACAAATAATTCCCCTTAGAGATTAATCCAAGAACTCCTTCTGTTTTACTCATCTCTCTGTAGCTTGCTGATGTTACCTTCTTTTTTTCTTTGAGATGGAGTCTCGCTCTGTCGCTCAGGCTGGAATGCAGTGGCACGATTTCCGCCCACTGCAAGTTCCGCCTCCTGGGTTCACGCCATTCTCCTGCCTCAGTCTCCTGAGTAGCTGAGACTACAGGCACCTGCCAGCACGCCCGGCTAATTTTTTTGTATTTTTAGTAGAGACAGGGTTTCACCGTGTTCGCCAAGGTGGTTTCGATCTCCTGACTTCGTGATCTGTCCATCTGCCTTGGCTTCCCAAAGTGCTCAGATTACAGGCATGAGCCACCGCACCTGGCCTTTTTTGTTTGTTTGTTTGTTTGTTTTTCTGAAATGGGGTCTCACTCAGTCACCCAGGCTGGAGTGCAGTGGTGTGATCATAGCTCACTGCAGCCTCAGACTCCTGGGTTCAAGCAATCCTCCCATCTAGGCATTCCAAAGTGCTGGGATTACAGGTGTGAGCCACTGCACCTGACCTGATGTTACCTTCTTCTGCATAGCCTAGCCTTGAGATAGACGTGCAATGGCGCAACTCTTGGCTCACTTCTACTCTACCTCCAGTGTTCAAACAAGTTCTCCCTGCTCCCTCCCCCGAATTAGTTTGGGATTACAGATGCCCACCACTCACGTCCAGCCGTAATTTTGTATTTTTAGTAGAAACAGAGTCCTTCACCCCCCACTGCCTTCCCCGCTCGCCCGCTGGCTCTCTCCCGACCTCCTGACTCTCCGGCCCTGCATCCCACCCCGCACTCCTCGCCTCCCTGAAGCTGCCCTCGGCACTCTACAGGTGTGATTACTCACCGCGCCGACCCCCCTCCAGTCTTACCCCTAACCCTCCCTAATCTTGCGCCGATATAAATCCACAGACACTCACACAAAAGGAATCCCTACCAATCAAACTTCACCAATAACTTCTCTCCCTTCGGGGCTCTACCTCGCTTTCTTCCTCTCCCTTCAGCAACGGCACTACCAACTACCCAGAATCCTTGCTGTTTCACGCAACTCGCTAAACGTGAAAACCAACGGATCGCAAGACTTGGACCGCTGACTCGCGGGACTACCCGCTCCGCCGCCCTGACGGACGCACGCGCATGCAAACACACAACAGACACCAAAACGTACCCCTCGCATCTCTGTCTATGGCTATCGGAACCACACAAAACCTCTGCCCAGGACGCGTCCTTTCCTCAAGACCCTCCCTTTGCTGGCGGGGCCATCCACGAGATCACGTCCACTACGTACCCCAACCCTCACCCCACAGAAAACTCGACTTCAGCC